CTTATGGTTCACGTTCACTTCAAATGTAAAGCCCTCAGGCCAGTTGTTCTGCAATCCTCTAAGGATAGTTGGATAGAGTCAGAAGAGAGAACCTGGGGAAGTTTGTGATGATAGTGAATTGACAGGACTCATGGCCAATTTGAGTTGCCGCTCACATGGGCAATGGTAATAAAAAGAGACACACATGTGTACATGACTAAATGATTTGACTGTGTCCGTGGGATTGCACATGTAACCCCCGTTCAGGCTTACTGAATGGCAGACATGGAAAAGGTATACACTTTGATTGTTTTCTTCCTGCTGCTGAGACTTTCTTTCATCTTGTGCAGTTTTCCTGAAGCCAGTTGCTTTTGGAGAATAAATCACAATGAAAATCTTGAGGGCAACACGAGGAAGGACTGTGGTTTCATCCTTTTCAGAGTACCTGGACATCTAGTGGAAGATTACTTCAGGGTGCTGCTGGATTTTCTGTGAGTGCTTCAGTTGTGTGTTCATGCTTCTGTTACTAAAACATAACTAGGAAGACAGGCATTATGTGGATTTCCTGTTTTCCTTCCTCATAACACTGTAGGAAGCATTTGAAATTATATTTGTCTTTTTTCCCTCTTTGAAATGGATCAGTTTATTTTCTTTCTTTCGTATAGACTTTCATTTATAAAGATGAGATGTAAGAGAGATATCACTCCCTATTTTTCTTTGTAGGTTACCCCCTGTCTTGAGAGTTGCCATTGTATGGGTGAGGTACTGTCCTCTCACTTAGAAACACAATTCAAATCACTGGAATTAGTTAGCATTAGAAGGCTGCAACAAAGCGTTCCTCCACCTGTCTGACATAGCATGAATTCCAGAAATCCTGAAAAAAGAGCTAATTCATATCTGTTTTCTTCCTTTGGATATATGTATCCATACATGTTACATATTCTTTCAGACAATTTGCATCCCAGGACATTCTGCCATCTATGGTCCATGGCTTCTGGAGATAGAATTCACTGTAGTTATGAGAGAAGTATATACTGTGATATTTTTATGGCTTTTGTTTTCATATTATTGTCCCTAGCCTGCAATATCACAATCACTCATTTGTGGTATTCTCAGTGTCAGGCATTTGGAGAATATTCTACCTTTAAAATTTAAATAGTTTTACAGTTAATAGATTCCAGCTGAATATTTGTAGTTCTGATAAAACAGAAAATGTCAGTGAAAGAAGTCACAGCTCTCCTTTGAGTATCTTATATCACGGAAGTTACTATGGGTAGGTGGTAACATTTAGAGCAAAAATGAATGTTTTAAGTTGTGTTATCTTTGCTACCACTGAATATTCTTACTATATTGATTTCAAAAATGTTTACATCTTATTAGTTCTTTCACTTATAATATATGTAATTTTCTTCTTTTGGTGATTTTACATACTGCACATGCAAATTTTGTACATTTTACATTGTGTTCATTTTGATTCTGATGGCTGCTACAAACATTTCTTATGCCAAGTCTGCAGGATTTACCCTTTTACTTATTTAAGTCTTATTCTTTATGCACAAAGGTGGATAATTTCTTTAAAGATACATACTGTATTAGGTAATATAATCTGTTTACTAAAGGTGTTGTGATATAACTTGTCGCTTTGAAAGAGATTTTCTGTTCATCTCTGAATGCACTATGGGCAATTTATACAGAGAAACAGCAGATTTGAGATGTCTTTGTCAGCTGATAAATTACCCTATGAAGAAATAGAGAGGCAATGGGAGATTGTGGTGAGGTAGAACTGACAAATTTCATGACCAATTAATATTCACCCAAAGTTGACATCATTTAAATGATAGTGAATTATAATTAATGCACACATATTTAGAGTGGAAAACTGTATTGTTTTTTGTGTCTGTGGCTTTATCTTTGGAAGCAAACATGTATAACAGGTTTGATAATTCTAATGTATCTGCTTTCTATGTTTAATCTTAATTACTTACTGCAAGGATACAAAGCACAATTACTTTAAATTACATATTATAACTGGCAGGCATACTGTTAGAAAACTATTAAATTTTATAAAATATTTGTTATTCTCCTTTTATAATTGTTGTCTCAGTGGCTTAATGCCTCTCTGCTAACGTAGTCCTGGTTTTGAAATCTTGTAGCCTCTGTACTATCTAATCTTAGTCTCTGAGATTTACTGCTGCATAATATGCTCACCCATTCTTGTAATGTCTAAACTCTAGCTGGTTGGTTACTTAGCTGTTCTGGCTCAAACTCCTCTCCAACCTGACTGATTGTACCTGGCTTCACTCGAAGCCTCTGACTTTTTGCTCTTCTTGGCCTCAACTCTGGAAATCTGTTATCACCTGGCTTCTTTTCATTCTCTGGACCATTTTGTCTTACCTGTGCCTAGCTTTTTCTCTCTCTGCAGCCTGTCTCTGTACAACTGTCTCTGTAAAACTACCTTTTCTCCTTTTTCTCTGCACTGCTCTTAAGTAGCCCCTCTTTTCTCACCATTCTCATGAGAGCTGGCCATGTCCTCCTCTGTCAAGTATTTCTCAATTCATCACTTTGTCTACCACTCAATTAAACATCACTTTCAAATATGAGTGTTTCCTTCTGCAAACTAAGTTTACTCTCATTGTTTGGGATTAAAGGTGTATACTGAGGGTGTGTCTGTATTCCCGCCAGAGGCTTAATGGTTTGTGCCAAGGCTGAGCAATAACACAACTAAAAATAGGTTGTTCTAGTAAACAAAACAATCTCAGAGTTCATAGTGTGATCAAATAATATGCAAAAATCTTTCATTTTGCAACTTTATACTGCATAAGTGGATTCGAATTACTCGTATCCACTCCTATTCTCACGTATCCCACTTCTGTTTCTGTCCCTCCATGTCTTTCTCCAACGACTTCCCTTTCATATTCATTTTTGTTATATTTCTACTGTATTCAACCAGGGCCATATGTTAAACAAGTTGTTTGGAACTATTCATTAGTACTTGGTGAGATCATCAGTGGGTACTCAACTGGCAGGAATTACTTCCATCATTTGTAAGCAATACTTCAAGATGGACTCACTGAGCCTTCTGAGGTCCCCTTGCCCTATTGACAATTGCCCACAGGTCTATCCATCCCTGTTTAATCTCTCTATAGAGAACCACAGCAGTTGTGAGAACACGACTGTGATGCCTCTCAAGACAGCAAGATAACCTCCCATTTTTCCTGTCTTCTCAATCTTAAATTCTCCAATCCTATTTGTTTTTTGTTATGTCCCTTAAGTCTTACAGGGTGTGGTATAACCTAGGGTTGAGCATTCAGTACAACCCTACCCTCAATCATAGCTTCTCTGGTTAAGGCAGATGTGTTTCTTTTCTATTATTTCCTTTTTTATTATTTCTGTTTCTAATTTATCTTCTTTCCTTTTTGAGATGGAGTCTTACTATACAGCCCTGGCAGGCTTGGAACTTGCAATGTAGATCAGGTGAGATCTGCCTAATACTCACAGAGATCTGCTTGCATCTACCTTCCAAGGGCTGAATTAAAGGTATCGACCTACAGGCCTGCTTTGCTTGTATTTCTTGACTTTGTCTAACACATTGTTTACTCATATTAATAGGTTTCCTTGAGGTGTTTGTATATATATTGCAGTACATGTGATCATAAGCCCCTTAATTGTCCCTTCTTCCACTACTTCTTTCTCCCTCTCAGCAGTGCCCTCAACAAAATCTAATCAAATCTGTATTACCACATTGTAGTTTTTTTCTATTCTAGCTTCCTTGTATGAGGGAAAATTCGGGGATACTTGTTTTAATGGTTTTGCATCATTTATTTAGTTCATGACTTGGCTCCCAATTCTGGATTTTATATGTCATAGTATTTGGATGTGGAATATTGCATTTTCTAAATGTCTTTCCTCATGCATTGTTGAGACATGCTCATGTGGATTACACTACCTTGAGTGAAGAATGTAACAGTAAAAGTGAGTATGTGAATGCTTCTCTCACAGTCTTCTTTGTGCTCTTTGGGGTACTATCTAGCAATGATAATGGTTCACTGTACACTGGTTCTAGTTTCATCTCCTTAGGAACAGCAATATAGTTCTGGGAAGAAACCAGAAGTATTTGACATTAAGGCCAAATATGTCAACAAAGGATTCACTTTCCTAGATGTCGTTACTACCATTTGTAATCCTTTTCTTAGTTTATACTAATTTTCAGGATGATCCCATGCCTAATGTTTTGGCTGTGTTACCATCAGGACTGGAGTTCAGATCTCAGAACACACATAAATGCTCAATGGGTGTAGAAGTCACCTATAATTAATTTGGGTTTCAGAGGCAGAGAAAGGACATTCCAGCAAGCACTAGATTTCACCGACGGGCACTGTTATAACAAATAATCAGTACAAGTGATAAAAAGATAACTCTTGGTTCTGGAGAGGTGAATCAGGGGTTAAGAGTACTGAGTGCTCTTTCAGAGGCCCTGAGTTCAATTCCCAGCAATCACATGGTGACTCACAACCATCTATAATGTGATCTGATGCCCTTTTCTGGACTGCAGATGTTCATGTAGCAGAATACTCATACATCAAATAAATAAAAATAAAAAAGATAATTGTTGACATCAGTTTTGGGACTCTTCATGCATGTATAAAATTATTCACATGTATCCTTAATCATAAAATATGTGGAGGATACATTAAAATACATGGAAATTAGAGAAATGTAGAAGTTAGTAACTCTTACAAAATAGCAATGGGTTCACCTTGATGGGCTAGAATTTCAATTTGATTTATATTTCTTTTTTATTGATTATTTTATTTCCATTCCAGACATTGCTCCCTTCCAGTCTGCCCTTCCTCATTTCCTCATCCTGTTCCCCCTCCCCTTTGCCTCTCAGAGGGTGCTCCCCCTCTCCTCAACCCTTCCTCTGGTCATCCCACTGCTCAAGTCTCTCCAGGGTTAGGAGCATCCTCTCCCACCGGGGCCAGACAAGGCAGTCCTCTCCTACATATGTGCCAGGGGCCTTGGGCAAACACATGTATGCTCTTTGGTTGGTGGGTCAGCCTCTGGGAGCTCCCAGGGGTCAAGGTTAGTTGAGACTACTGGTTTCCTATGTGGTCACCATCCCCTTCAGCTCTTTCAGTCCTTTCCCTAGTTCTTTCATAGGGGTCTTCAATTACAGTCCAATGTTTGGGTGTAAGCATCTGTCTCAATCACAGTCAACTGCTGGTAGGGCCTCTCAGAGTACATCCATTCTAGGTTCCTGTCTGTTAGCACATCAATGCATCAGTAATAATGCCAGGTCTTCTTGCTCCCATCCCCATGAGATGGCTCCCAAGTTAGGCCAGTTACTGGAACTGTACCAGAAGTTCTGTTAGACAGGAACAGCTCTGGGTAAAAATTCTTAACAGTGGTTTGGTAATCTGGTCACTCTACTTGGTGTTCCTTACTATCTACTGGAGGTGGTATCTTCAAGTTCTTTCTCCCACTGTTGGGCATTTTGGCTAAGGTCATCCCCACTGAGTCCTGGGAGTCTCTCACACCACAGGTCTTTGTTACTAAGTAGAGGGTCTTCTAAACCCCACCCCGAGAAGTTACATTATTTCCATTGAAACTCCTGGCCCTCTGGGCTTCTCTCTACTGTTCTCTCCAAACTCCATACCTGATTCTGCTCCTTTTTCCTCTCCTCCTCCCTTACTCCATCCAGGTCTGTCCCTCCCTCTGTCTCATGATTATTTGTTGCCCCCCTTCTAAGTGGGAATTAAGCACCCTCCCAAGGTATTCCTTCTTTTTAAATTTCTTAGGGTCTGTGGGTTATATCATGGGTATTCTGTGCTTTTTGGCTAATAACCACTTATCAGTGACCACATATCATGTATGTCTTTTTGGGTCTGTGATATCTCACTCAAGATGATATTTTCTAGTTCAATTCATTTGCCTGCAAAACTCACGCTTTCCTCATTTTTAATAGCTGAATAGTACTCCATGTTGTAAATGTGCCACGTTTTCTGATTCCATTTTTCCATTGAGGGATATCTGGGTTGTCTCCAGGTTCTGGCTATTATAAATAAGGCTGTTATGAACATAGTGGAGCATATGTCTCTGTTATATGTTGGAGCAGTGGTATAGCTGGGTCTTCAGGTAGAGATATTACTAGTTTTCTAAGGCACTGTCATATTGATTACCAGTTACAATTCCCCTAGCAATGGAAGAGTGTTCCCCTTTCTCCACATCCTCACCATCATCTGCTATCACCTGAGTTTTTGGTCTTAGCCATTCTGGTTGATGTGAGCTGGAATCTCAGGGTCGTTTTGATTTCCATTTCCCTGATGACTAAGGATGTTCAACATTTCTTTAAGTGCTTTGCAGCCATTGAGGATTCCTCAGTTGAGAATTCTTTGTTTAGCTCTGTACGCCATTTTTAATAGGGCTGTTTGTCTTCTGGAGTCTAACACCTTGAGTCTGGAGTTCTTTGTATATTTTGGAGATTAGCAGTCGATTAGATATAGAATTTGAGAAGATCTTTTCCCTATAGGTTGCTGTTTTGTCCTATTGACTGTTTCCTTTGCCTTATAGAAGCTGTCCTATTTTATGAGGTCCCATTTGTCAATTGTTGATCTTGGAGCCTGAGCCATTGGTGTTCTGATCTGGAAATTTCTCCCTGTGCCAATATGTTTCAGGCTCTTTTTCCATTTGTTCTTTTATTAGATTCAGTGTATCTGGTTTTATGTTCAGGTCCTTGATCTACTTGGACTTGAGGTTTCTTCAAAGAGATAAAAATGGATCAATTTGAATTCTTCTATGTACAGACTGACAGTAGAACCAGCACCATTTGTTGAAAATGCTTTCTTTTTTTTTCTATTCAATGAGTTTGGCTTCTTTGCCAAAGATGAAGTGATCATATGTGTATGGGTTTATTTCTGAGTCTTCAATTCCATTCCATTGAACTACTGGTCTTTCTCTGTACTAAGCAAATCTCTGTTGCAAGCCTTTTTCTACACAAAGGATAAACGGGTTGAGAAAGAAATTAGGTAGACAACATCCTCTACAATAGTCACAAATAATGCAAAATATCTTGGTTTATCTTCAACCAAGCAAGTGAAAGATCTGTGTGACAAGAACTTCAAGTCTTTGAAAAAAGAAATTGAAGAAGACCTCGGAAGACGGAAAGATCTCCCATGCTCCTGGATTGGCAGGATTATTATAGTAAAACTGGCCATCTTGGTGAAAGCAATCTATCGATTCAATGCAATCCCCATCAACTTTTTAAATCAGCTCTTCATATGCATAGAAAGAGCAATTCTCAATTTCATCTGGAACAACAACAACAACAACAACAACAAAAACCCAGGATAGGGAAAACAATTCTCAATGGTAAAAGAACATCTAGGGGAATCACCATCCTTGCCTTCAAGCTCTACTAGAGAGCCATGGTGAGAATGTCAGCTTATATGTGAGTACACATCATGTGTGCCTTTCTGGGTTAAGGTTACCTCACTCATGCCCTTGTCTTTAAGAGCCAAGCCATTGTGTAAATGAACCACATTTTGTTTTTCCTTTCTTCAGTTAAGGGACACCTGGTTTGCTTCCAGTTTCTGGCTTCCGTTTTTTTTTTTTTTTTTTCCCTTCACACACAGCCGTGTAAAAGTTCTCGTGAACCTTTTAAAAAATGAGTTTAAGATGGTGCATTTGGCCTGAGAATATACATACTGCCAAGAAAGAGAAACTGTTATAATCAAAATGAATCTCATACTGTATATTTACTTTTATGGAATAATATATGGCTCAAAAAGGGTTATTTCACCAAGAGCAAAGGTCACTCTCATATTCTTCTTATGATCACAAACTAGTAGTCAGAATTTTGTACTTAAGCTCAGGAAATAAACAAATTGACTAGAAATTAAAGAATTTAGCAGGAATCTAAAAAAATAAATAGAAAGTTCTTTGAAAAAAATCAGTACGCTTGATTAACTGTTAAAATTAAGTGAAATAAAAAGAGAAGAATCATGCCGGGCTGTGGTGGCGCACGCCTTTAATCCCAGCACTTGGGAGGCAGAGGCAGGTGGATTTCTGAGTTCGAGGCTAGCCCCCCCAAAAGAGAGAGAGAGAGAGAGAGAGAGAGAGAGAGAGAGAGAGAGAGAGAGCCTGTAAAACAAGTACCAGTAAAATTGGGAAAAACCACACAAATATCTGAAATCTTGCTTTATGATAAATTAGAGATTCTGAAAACAACATAAATCTCTTGATGCATATGACTTACAAGTGTTGAACTAAGGTGAGATAATTAATTTAAACACTTATAAAAAGCACTGATATAAAAACAGTAATAAAAAAAATACTCTCGGCTGCCACTGCTGTCTAACACCTGCACTGCCTCTCTCTTGCTGAGCTCCAGCTGAAGGAGAAGGGGGGTAAATAAGGAGGTGCCCATACCATGGCTCATACAAAGCAGGCTGTCAGCAAATTCACCCTTGGTAAAGCACCCAGGAAATAACTGGCTACAAAAGCTGCTCGCAAGAGGGGGCCCTCTACTGGAGGAGTGAAGAAACTTCATCGTTACTGTGACACTCCCTGAAATCAAGTGCTATCAGAAGTCCACTGAACTTCTGATTCTCAAGCTCCCCTTTCAGAGTCTGGTGCAGTCTGGTGCGAGAAATCGCTCAGGACTTCAAAACAGATCTGTGCTTCCAGAGTGCAGCTATTGGTGCTTTGCAGGAGGCAAGTGAGGCCTATCTGGTTGGCCTTTTTCAAGATACCAACCTGTGTGCTATCCATGCCAAACATGTAACAAGTACGGAAAGGATATCCAGCTAGCTCTTCACATACGTGAAGAGCATGCTTAAGAATCCACTATGAGGGGAAACATTTCAATCTCAAAAGAAAGCTTTTTTCCCTCTTCTTTCTGTTACCAGTAGTTCTGAATGTTAGATATTTTTTCCATGAATTCAAAGGTACCTAAGTATATGATTGCGATGGAAACACGGGACACAATCAGGGATTGGCAGTTTCTCCACGTTCATTTGTGTATGAATTTTTAATATAAACGCAAGATGTAAAGCATTAATGCAAGCAAAACTTTTCAGTGAATAGATTTCAACAGTTCAACTTTATAACAATTATAAGTAGGTTTACTTTAGTTTTACAGGTTTGTTAAAATTTTCTGGACAATGTCAGCATTTGGATTTTTAAAAAATAAGTAAATTTCTTATTGACGGCAACAAAATGGTGTTTGTAGCATTTTTATCATCCAGTAGATTCCATCCATCACTATACTTTTCTGAGTTGTCCTACATGCAAGTACATGTTTTTAATGTTGTCTGTCTTCTGTGCTGTTCCTGTAAGTTTGCTACTAAAATACATTAAACTATTAAAAATACTTTCGGTTTTGATATTTCTAGGATGAGGAAATGAGACAATTCACTGTATGTTAAGAGCGTGATTCTGATTCATGAATGTAATTAGGTTGTTTGATAACATTCTAGTGTGACTAAGAGAGGGAAAGGTTGTATGGACTTTCACAATGACAAAATGATTAAATTTCCCGTTTATCAACTATTAGTTTCAAAAGGCATACTGTACATTAATTTTCCCTTACAGAGGATTATATCAACATGGGAAATTAGGGGATACATATCATTAGTATGTAACATTTGTTGTATTTGATTTGAAGATTGTTATGTTTGAAGCTACATCAGTAATAATTACTGTATCTTGTTTTCAGTTTGCCAGTGAAAACATACCAGTATGTTCTGGTAATGCTTTTTGCCATAGAAGAGATCAACAAGAACCCTAATCTTTTACCCAACTCTACCTTGGGATTTACCTTTCTTGGTGACCAGTGTGATATTACATCAACACATCTCAATAACCTAAATATTTTCTCAAAATCTGGAGAGATGATTCCTAACTACATCTGTGAACATAGTCACTGTGATGTAGCACTAACAGGACCAACATGGACAGCTTCTGCCAGAGTGGGGGCAATCCTGCAGCTCTTCAAAATCTCACAGGTGATTTTAAGTTTGATGGGTAGAGTTGAAGACATAGGTTCTTCCTTCCTTTCTTCCTTCTCTCCTTCCCTCACTCCCTCTCTCCTTTCTTCTCTCCCTCACTCTCTGCCTCCTTTCTCTCTCTCTTCCTTCAACCCATCCTTTCTTTCTTTCTTTCTTTCTTTCTTTCCTTCTTTCTCTCTTTTTCTTCCTTTCTTCTTTGCTTGTGGATATTTTATTGATTCGTTTGTGTGTTTACATCCCCAATGCTGCTCTCCCTCTGGGTTCCTCTTCTTTGAGAGTGTGGGAACCCCCTGGGTATCACCACAACCTCGCACATTAAGTCTCTGTCAGATTAAGTGTTTCCTCTCCCACTGAGGCCAGATAGAGGATCCATGAAGACTGAGCTGCCTGTCTGCTACATATATCCTGGCTGGCCTTGTTGGAACCAGTGTATGTTCTTTGGTTGGTGGATCAGATTCTGAGAGCTGCCAGGGGTCCAGGTTTGTTGACTCTCTTGGTCTTCCTGTAAGTTCCCATCTTGTACTGGGCCTTCAATGCATCCTCCAGTCCTTCCATATGTGTCCCCTGTCTCTATCTAATATTTCGCTGTGGGTAACACTTCAGTTTCCATCCAATACTGAGTATGGCCACTCAGAGGATAGTTATGCTAACCTTCTGTCTGCGAGCATAACAGAGTATAATTAATAATGTCAGGGATTGGTGTTTGCCCATGGGATGGGACTTGAGTTGGGCTGGTTATTGGTTGGTCTTTACTTCAACCTCTGTTCCATCCCTGCATTTCTTCTAGACGGAACATATTTTAGGTTGAAAGTTTGATGGGTGTGTTGGTATCCCTATCCTTCCACTGTGGGTCTTGCATGGCTAAAGGAGTTGGTCTCTACAGGTTCCATGCCTCTACTATTAGGCATCTCAGCTAAGGTCAGCCACATTGACTTCTGGAGCCTCCTCTATCCCAGGTCTCTGGACTTCCTAGAGATCTTCCCCAAGCAGTTGTAGATTTCCCCTCCTTCTCATGGTCCACTGGGCCTTTCTCCTCTCTCTGCACCTGAAAATGTTTGCTTGGAAAACGTTTGTCCAGCCCTTTACTCTGAGGTAGTGTCTATCTTTGTTTTTGAGGTGTGTGTTTCTTGTATGTAGCAGAATGGTGGATCCAGCTTACACATACAGTCTGTTAGCCTGTGTTAGTTTTTTAAATTGTGGAATTGAGTTCATTGATGCTGAGAGATATTAATGATCAGTGATTGTTAGTTCCTGCCATTTTTCTTGTTGTTGGATGTATGTGTGTGTGATTCTCTTCTTTATGTTTGTAATGAGATGATTAATTTCTTATGTTTTCCTGGGTGTAATTACTCTCCTTTTGTTGCAATTTTCCTTTTAGTATCCTCTGTATGACTGGTTTGATAGAAAGATGTTTAAATTTGGTTTTGTCATAGAATATCTAGGTTTCTCCATCTAGGGTGATTGAAAGTTTTGCTGAATATCATAGCCTGGACTTGGAACTGTGCTCTCTTAGAGTCTGTATGATATGTCTCCAGGAACTTCTGGATTTTAGAGTATCTGTTGAGAAGTTTGGTGTAATGCTGAGAGGTCTGCTTTTACATGTTCCTTGGCCTTTTTCCCTTACAGGTTTTAATATTCTTTCTTTGTTCTGTCCAATTAGTATTTTGATTATTATGTGGCATGACAATATTCTTTTCTTGTCCAATCTTTTTGGTGTTCTGTAGCCTTTTTTTTTTTTTATACCTGCATGGCGCTCTCTCTCTCTCTCTCTCTCTCTCTCTCTCTCTCTCTCTCTCTCTCTCTCTCTCTCTTTCTTCTCTCTCTCTCTTTCCTCTCTCTCTCTCTCTCTCTCTCTCTCTCTCTTTTTAGGTTAGGGAAGCTTTCTTTTATGATTTTGTTGTTGAAGTTTTCTGGCCCTTTGCCCTGGAAATCTTCACCCTTCTCCATTCTTACTATTCTTAGGTTTGGTCTTTTCATCGTGTCCCAAATTTTTTGGATGTTTTGGATTATAAACATTTACACTTGATGTTTTCTTTGACCAATGTATCAATTTCTTACCTTCTATACCTTAGATTCTTTATTCTTTCTCTTGTATTCTGTTGGTGATGCTTAGGTCTGTAGTTCTTGCTCTCTTTCCTAGGTTTTACATCCTCCAGGCTGCTTCCATTTGTGTTTTCTTTATTGCTTCTATTTCCAATTTTAGGTCTCGAACTGTTTTAGTAATTTTCTTCACTTGTTTGCATTTTCCTGTATTTCTTTGAGGGACTTATTTATTGTTCTTTAATAGCTTCTATATGTTTGTACTTTTAAAGGGAATATTTATATTCTCTTTAAAGGCTTCTGTCATCTTCATGAGATGGTATTTGAGGTTATGGTCTTGTTCTTGAGGTGTGCAGTGATATCTAGAGTTTTCTGTAATAGGAGAGCTGGGTTCTGATCATACCAAATTACATTGGCTTCTATTGATTATGGTTTTATACTTGCCTTTCACCATCTAGTTGTCTCTGGGTGTGGGTTTAACTGAATTATGTCCCCTGCCAGGCAGGTGGTGCTGTTATGTTTTGGGTTTGAACAGGCCTCCTGGGAGCCAGGAAGAACTACTGTGGACTGTGGAGTGGTGTGCTGATCTGTGACTGCTGTGAGTGTCAATTTAGAGGTGGACTGTTGGGAGGTAGGCAGAGATGTGGGGTGGGGCACGGTGTGTTGCTCCCTGACCATTGCTGCTGCAGATGTATACTGGAAGAAAGATGGACCTCTGACTGGATGCTAGGCTTGAATCTCTGCAGTCAGGGTATGGGTCTGGGATGGTAGTCGGGTCTCATCTGTTTGTGTCGGGTTAGAGTCTACCTCTTAGGAAGCAGATTGAGTTGTGAGGTGGTGTGCTGTGAACTACTCCATGAGTCTCTGGTGCAGGCACAGACCAGAGACAGATGGAGCTCAGGACATGCTGCTTGTGGATATTTGAAGAATTCTGAGATAGTGTCTGTGCTGATTTGCATAACCATAATGCTTTAGAAAGAAGAGAAGAGAAGAGAAGAGGAAAGGGAAGAAAAGAAAAGAGGAGAAAAGGAAAGAATAGAAAAGAAAAGGACATCAATCTTTGCACTAAAAGCATCTGTTCCTAGACTATTATGCTTGGGAGACTTTAATGACTGCTTCCATTTCTTTAGGGGTTATGGGATTTTTTATATGGTTTACCTGATCTTGATTTAACTTAAGTATCTGGTATCTGTCTATCATTTAAAATATAAATAAATAAATAAATAAATAAATAAATGAATGAATAAATAAATAAATAAGAAAACCCATCTCATTAAATATTAATGTTTTAATTTTGATAGAAAAATAGGTATTTCAGAAATAAGGATTTTGTAGACTACTGGGAAATGTCAGTAGTTTTTCAACATACAATGTGGTGCACAAATAGTCCTTCCTCCCATTTGTAAATGATGCTTTTGAATTTCAGATCTTAGAGTTAACTTCTTGCCAGTCTAGTTTCTCATGTTGCTTCCGGTGTTCTGTTTTATTTAGGTTACATATGGACCATTTCATGGTAGTCTGAGTGATCGTGATATGTTTCCTCATCTATATCAGATCGCCCCAAAGGACACAAGCCTAGTTCTTGCCATGGTATCCTTGATGATTCATTTCAGCTGGCAATGGGTGGGGCTGGTTATTTTAGATGATGACCAGGGTGCTCAGTTTCTCTCAGATATGAAAGGAGAAATGAGGAGCAAAGAATTCTGTTTAGCTTTTGTGAACGTGATCCCAGTAAACATACAGTTATACGTAGAAAGGGCAGAGACTTACTATTATCAAATAATGACATCATCAGCAAATGTTGTCATCATTTATGGTGACAACAACTCTACTCTAGAAGTGAGCTATAGAAGATGGGAAGCTTTAGGCATACGGAGATTATGGGTCACCACCTCACAATGGGATCTCATCTCAAGATCAAGAGATTTCACCACTGACTCTTTCCATGGGACTTTGTCTTTGTCACACCATTATCAAGAGATTTCTACTTTTAAACATTTTATCCAGAGAACAAACTTTTCTGCTTACCCAGAAGATGTTTCTCTGGTGAGATTGGGATGGATGTATTTTAACTGTTCAGTATCTGTATCTGACTGTAAAGCACTGACTCATTGCTCATCTAATACCACATTGGAATGGTTACCACGGCACAGTTTTGACATGGCCATGAATGATGAGCGTTACAACATCTATAATGCTGTGTATGCTGTGGCCCATGCTTTTCACAACATGCTTCTTCAACAAGTAGATAGTCAAGTACTGGAAAGTTGGAAAGGACTAATACCTAGATGTATGCAGGTAAATATGACTCTAGGTTGTGGGAAGGTGACATTTAAAGTTAACATACTCCACATCAATTATGACCGAAATGTAATACCAACATCTAGGTCACAAACTGGGCATGGGTTTGTCTGCTTGTAACCCCAGTATTGGAAATGCAAAAAAACCTGGCACATATATAAAGTTCAATGACTAAAGAGCAAAGCCAAGAAACCAGTGAGGTTCATGTTTAGTGAGAGACCCAATACACATAAATGAAACACCACCCACCCATACATACACACACAAACAAACACACATAATGTCACTTTAACGAGTTTGTTAGTTACGTGTATTCAAGTTACATTTTGAAGGAGAGATTAAAAAGTAAAAAAAAAAATGTCCTCCACAGAACATTTTTGCCTTAGTGTGTGAGTATATTTAATCATAAGGTTATGCATTTTTTAGGTAAATGCTTTTCTGAAGAATATAAGATTTATTAATCCTGTAGGAGACCCAGTGAATATTAATCAAGAAGAAAATTTAGATGCAATATATGACATTCTCAATGTTCTAAATTTTCCACAAGGTCATGTACTAAAGGTGAAAGTAGGAGAGTTTTCTCCTTATTTGGCACATGATCAGCAACTGTTCTTATCTGAAGACATGATAGAGTGGGCCACAGGAAGTAGACAGGTAGGTTGCAACAAAGTTTAATTTTAATTAAACTCCTAAGTGGTACTTTTTGCCTTAATTACTCCCATGTTTGTTTTTGAGGAGGATCCTATATTTTCATGAGTTAATTTACATATGTATGCTATTATGTAGTAGAATCCATGTTTATGTACTGGTAACATTCCATTCTGTTTAAAGTATACTGAAAATAAGGCAATACATTGAAAGATAGTAGATATTGAAGGAAAAGGAAATTTCTGTTATTAACACATATCTAATTTTTCTCAGTTTTCCACTTCTGTGTGCAGTATGCCTTGCCGTCCTGGTTTCAAGAAATCCCATCAAGAAGGAAAAGCAGACTGCTGTTTTGATTGTTCCCGATGTCCTGCCAATGAGATTTCCAACACCACAGGTCATTGGCTGCCTTGGGAGAAAATTCTTCAGATTAACTATCTTGTTCTACATGTATTATATACATGAAAGACCATGAATGGGAACTTTAGAGATAAAATCTTTTTTTTAATAAATTTGTATGATAATTAGTATTGCCCTAGATAAATAACCCACACTATTTTTCAGTCTCATTACTTGACTACAACTAGACCCATGAAAGAGTGTATTTTCTCAGATAAATAAGCTTGAGAGCTAAATGTTATGGCTAGTATTAGTTTTCTCAGAAATGTCACATATGTTATTACTTGATATTGTTTCTATCAACATATAGATAATACTGAAAATGTAAATCTTTCACAACCCTATCATCACAGATAGATTCCTGAAAATGATCAAGGGGTCAAAGATTTTATGTTCAGTTTAAGAAATATGCAATCTTTTGGAGGCCAACTATCCTGTCAAACATAAAATCAATGGATATGCTGTAGTTTTTGTTGCTATCTTGTTCATATGTTAGTGATGAAGGTAACACATGAAAATAATATGTGTGATTAAGTCACAAAACTGAAGTGAATATAGGCAAATCAGCTATGAGATGCATAGATGTGGTTAAGTACTTGTGGGACAAAGACCAATTTTAAAATTTTTAAGTTAGTATTGATTATATATTAGATGACTGAAGTATATTTTTATAGAATCATTACAAATAATTATCTATTAGAAAATAATATTATATCCAAAATATTAAAAATTAGTGTAGTTTGAAGTCAAAGAAGCTGGATGCAGATATATGTGGGAAAAGGTGATCATATTAATTAGGTTTTGTGAAGTGACTAGTGTGCAATGTCAGAGAAAAAGAGCTAAGGATAATATAGTATATGAAAGATATCTTAAAATTGTTATGAAGATGACACTATCTCATAAATATACAACTAATGTTAATTAATTACTTATTAATGAACTCACTGTTGGCTAAATATAAAGTTATTGGCTAGAATTCTTTCTTATTTATATTTGCTTTTAATATTGCATAGGAATTCTAAAATGGAATTTTGGTTTTTACAAGATACAAAATTATCATATGCATAAGCAAAAAATTTAATCCATATGCCCATTATTTTAGTCAATATTATTGAGAAATATAAGAGAAGAGTAAATGAAAAATATATATTTGCCAATAGAAGGCATCAATATTGGAAATATATAATTCTTCAATTTTATGTAATATGTATGACTTGCAATAAAAATAATAGCACATATCACAGTGGAATATGTAACTTCTAGGTGGGAAATTTCTCACTATTTCTCTTATTATATGTCATTTTTATTTGATAGAACTTAGAAAATTATTTATTTTATGCTATTTTTCCAGGAAGTTCTTGTTTCTTTTATGAATTAATGCAGATCAACTTTCTTAGTTGTAGAACTTAAAGATATATGCAAATACTATGGCTCCCCAAAGTGAATATGTGTAAACAGAAACCCAAAGTGGTGGAATCGTGAAGTAGAACTTTGTAAGGCAATAATTCACAAGACCTGAAGCTTGATCCGTGGAATCATTGCCCCTAATGAATAAAATTTAGTGGAACAGATATCTATGCCCCTGTGACCATATGAAAACAGACCCACAGGTTATTAATTCGAACAGTTTATCTGTCATAAATCCAACTTTCTCAGAGAACCCACCTGGTACATTTTCATAAACACTATCTATGTAATTTAGACAACTACAATTGACCAAGTATAAGCTATGTTCTTATACAATACCACATTACTAAGACACAATATAATTTTGCTTCCTTTCAAGATAATAACAATCTCATAAATATACAAGGTAAATAAGCATTTTTATTTATACCAAAAATATGAAAGTTTTTCCTATACTACAAATATGAAAGATACTATAGAATATGAAATGCTGTTTTAGAGCTACACATTAAATGGTTCTTTATAACCACGAGGAAGGCAAATTGTACTAAGGTGCTCCAAAATCTTTGTCTGAGGCATCCTATGAATAGGAGACAATGTAGAACTATGCTGGTGACTTTTTGCTTTTGCCAACAGACACAGAAGAATGTGTGAAGTGTCCAGATGATTGGTATGCCAACACAGAGCAAGCCTACTGCCTGCCAAAAGCCGTGTCATTTCTGGCTTATGAAGATCCTTTGGGGATGGCTCTTGTCTGTCTGGCCCTGTGCTTCTCTGCACTTACAGCCCTTGTCCTTGGGGTCTTTGTGAAGTACAGAGAAACTCCCATTGTGAAGGCTAATAACCGTACTCTCAGCTACATTCTACTAACATCCCTGACATCTTGCTTTCTCTGCTCCTTGCTCTTCATCGGAAATCCCAGTACTACAACATGTATCCTACAGCAGACTATATTTGGAATTCTGTTCACTGTGTCAGTGTCCACAGTCTTGGCCAAAACTATTACTGTGGTGCTGGCCTTCAGGATCACTGTCCCAAGCGAAAGAATGAGGGGATTGCTGGTATCAAGGACACCTAAATACATCATTCCCATCTGCACAGTTGTCCAAATAATTTTCTATGGAATATGGCTATGGACATCACCTCCCTTTGTTGACATTGATGCACACTCTGAACATGGCTACATTACTGTCACGTGCAGCAAAGGCTCAGTTACAGCCTTCTATTGTGTTCTTGGATACCTCGGATCTCTGGCCCTAGCAAGCTTCACAGTGGCTTTCTTGGCCAGGAATCTGCCTGACACATTCAATGAAGCCAAATTTCTGACATTCAGCATGCTGGTGTTCTGCAGTGTCTGGGTTACTTTCCTTCCTGTCTACCACAGCTCCAAGGGGAAAGTCATGGTAGCAGTTGAAGTGTTTTCTATTCTGGCCTCCAGTGTGGGCCTGCTAGGATGTATCTTTATCCCAAAATGCTACATTATTTTGTTAAGACCAGACAGGAACTCAATTCAAAAGTTCAGAGATAAAACACACTCTTGAATCAACTAAAATTTCTTATGTTTTAGATTATGTGTGAAGTCATTGTATAGCTTGAAGAAAACTATATTTTATTACAAACCTCAAACATTTAATTTAAATATTATTCATTTGCATGCATGCAAGTTAGTCATATTCTTTAATATTTGTTTTAATTTTTAATGACTTTATAAGTTAATGTTTCAAACGATATCACCATTTCTGTTGAGCCCTCCACAACCCCCCCATCCCATTTTCCCTCTCTTTTCCCCTTTGCCTCTATGAAAGTTCCTCCTCAAATCACTCATCTAGTCCTGCTGCACTGCTGTAACATCCCCTTATGCTGGGGTGTCAAGCCTCCATAAGACCAATGGCCTCCCCTCTCACTGATGTCAGTTAAGGTCATCCTCTGCTACATATGTATCTTGAGCCTTGGATTTCTCCATTTATACTCTTTGGTTGGTGGTTTAGTATCTGGGAACTCCAGGTGGTCCAGTTAGTTGATTTTGTTTTTGGATGGGGTTGCAATCAACTTCAGCTCCTTCAGTCCTATCCGTAACTCTTCCATTGCATTCCCCAGGCTCAGTCTGATGGTTGTGATTATCTGCATCTGTATTGGTCAGGTGCTGGTAGAACCTCTCATGGAACATCCATACCAGGCTCCTGTTAGCAAGCATTTCTCGGCATGAGCAGTAGTATATGGTTTTGGTGTCTGCAGATGTGATGGGAATCCCTAGTTGGGGTGGTCTCTGGCTGGCCTGTCCTTCAGTCTCCATTCTAATTTTTCCCCTTGTATTTCCTTTGGACAGGAACATTTCTGGGTTAATAGTTTTGAGATGTTTGGCTCACCCCATCCCATTACTCGGGGCTGTGCCTATCTATTAGAGGTGATCTCTATAGATTGTATCTCCCCTTTGTTGCACATTTTGGCTAAAGTCACTGTTGTTGGGTCCTCAGAGCCTCTGACTTCCCTGGTGTCTGAGACATTCTAGTGACTACCCCTAGTTCTCCATCTTCCTCTGCTACGTATTTCTATTTGATTTCCTGTCTCTGTAGTTCTCTCCTGTCCCTTCCAATGCCTGACCCTGCCTTCCTTTTTTCCTTCCTCCTTTCTCCCTCCCAGGTCCCTCTCTTCCTCTACCTCCTGTGATTATTTTGTTTCCCCATCTATGTAGGATTGATGTACCTACACATTGGTCTTCCTTCTTCTTAAGTTCCATATAGTTTCTGGGTTGTATTGCAGGTATTCTGAGCTTTTGGGCTAATATCCACTTATCAATGTGGACATTCCATGTGTGTTCTTTTGGGTCTGAATTACCTCACTCAGGATGATGTTTTCTAGTTCCATCCATTTCCCTGTGGATTTCATAAAGCCATTGTTTTTAATAGCTGAGTAGTAAGTACTCCACTGTGGAAATGTACCACATTTTCTTTATCCATTCTTCAGTTGAGGGACATCTGGGTTGTTTCCAGCTTCTGGTTATTATAAATAAGGCTGCTATAAACCTACTAGAGCCTGTGTCTGTGATACATGTTGAAGTATCTTTTGGGTATATGTCCAGTAGTGGTACAGCTAGGTGCTTAGGCAGAGGCAGAACTATTTCCAATTTTCTGAGGAATTGCCAGACTGGTTTCCAGGGTGGTTGTACCAGCTTGCAATCCCACCAACAATGGTGGAGTGTTCCTCTTTCTCCACATCCTCACCAGTATCTGCTGTCACCTGTATTTTTGATCTTAGCCATGCTGATTGGTGTGAGGTGGAATCTCAAGGTTGTTTTGATTCACATTTCCCTGAAGACTTAGGATGTTGAACATTTTAAGTGTTTCACAACCATTCAAGGTTCTTCAGTTGAGCATTCTCAGTTTAGTTCTGTAACCTATTTTTAATAGGGCTATTTGGTTCTCAGTACTAACTTCTTGAGTTCTTTGTATATTTTGGATATTAGCCCTTTATTGGATGTAGGATTGGTAAAGATTTTTCTCATTCTGTGAATTATTGTTTTGTCCTATTAACAGTGTCCTTTACCTTACAGAAGCTTTTCAATTTTATGATGTCCTATTTGTTGATTGTTGATCTTACAGCCTGAGCCATTTGTGTTCTGATCAGGAAATTTATCCCTGTGTTAATGTATTCAAGGCTCTTCCCCATTTTCTCTTCTATTAAATTTCTTGTACCTGGTTTTATGTTGTCGTTGATCCACTTAGACTTGTGCTTTGTACAAAGAGATAAAAATCAATCAATTTGCATTTGCCCAGACTGCCAGTTGATATAATAGATACTACAGCTTGTTTCTTGAGATCAGTTACTTGGAAAAAAAATTTCCAGCTTCTTACTTTGAGGTAGTGTCTGTCTTTATTACTGAGGTGTGTTTCCTGTATGCAGCAACATGCTGGGTCCTCTTTACGTATCCAGTCTGTTAATCTATGTCTTTTTATTGGGGAATTGAGTCTGTTGATGTTGAGAGATATTAAAGACCAATCACTGTTGCTTCCTGTTATTTTTGTTGTTAGAGATGTAATTATGTTTTTGTAGTTCTCTTCAGTTTGTTGTTAATAGATTAATTTATTGTTTTTTATTGGGTGTACTTTCCCTCCTTATGTTGGAGTTTTCCTTCTATTATCTTCTGTAGGATTGGACTAGTGGAAAGATATTGTTTTTTTTTAAAAATCAAATTGTAATTTTTACTTATTCACACAGGGGTTATAAACACAAAAAGGCAGGATGTGGGGAAGGGGATGACACTGGAGCATGGGTGTTTAAGGGGAGTACAGATATCTTTCAGAACAGGGTATCGGCTGGGTGAAGGTTCAGGTGACAGGTCACTGTGGCTTTGCCTATGATTCACTTGTCCTTATCTAAGTTGGTACTATCTGCTGAGGCTACCTATTTACAAGGTCTATGACTACTCAGGCTGGTAAATTTCCACAAAAGCTGCCTGTTTACAATAGCTTATAGCCATTTGTTTCAGTGTTTTTCCACAGAGACCCAAGACTTTATGTTAGCATGCATGTATGTCAGGCCTATTGCTGATTTTAGGCCTATGGCTGATTTTAGGCCTTCAGTGTATAAGCATGGCTGTCCCTGACATCTCCCTTCTCTAAGTATAGAAGGGCTGTGGTGATTCTAATCTTACAAAGGTGGGGATACAGGCCTGACCTCCAATAATTGAAGGGGACTTTGTAATGGCTCTGGTTCTCTTGTCATTGTCTAGTGAGGCATGAGGGCCATGCCCATCTGATGTCTTGGAAAGATATTGTTAAATTTGGTTTTGTCATGGAATATCTTGGTTTCTTCATCTATGCTAATTGAGAGTTTTGCTGGCTATAGTAGCCTGCTCAATTACTTTTGTTCTCTTAGGATCTTTTTTTTTTTAAAGATTTATTTATTTATTTATTATACTTATATGAATACATCGTTGCTGTCTTCAGACTCAGCAGAAGAGGTCATCAGATCCCATTAAAGATGGTTGTGAGCCACCATGTGGTTGCTGGGAATTGAACTCTGGACCTCTGGAAGAGCACTCGGTGCTCTTAACCACTGAGGCAACTCTCTAGCCCTCTTAGCATCTTTATGACATCTATCCAAGATCTTCTGACTTTTAGTGCCTCTGTCCAGAAGTCTGGTATATTCTGATAGGTCTGTCTGTATGTCTACTTGACCATATTTTCCTTACCTCTTTTAATATTCTTTCTTTGTTTTGTGCATTTGGTATTTTGATTATTATGTGACAGGAGAAATTTCTTTTCTTGTCCAGTCTATTTTGAGTTCTGAATGCTTCTAGTATGTTCTTGGATATCTATTTCTTTAGGTTAGGGAAGTTTTCTTCTATAATTTTGTTGAAGATGTTTACTGGACCTTAATTAAGTTGGGAATCTTCACTCTTCTATACCTATTATTCTTAGGTTTGGTCTTCTCATTATGTTCTGTATTTCTTTTTTTTCCCTGTAATTATAGTTTTATTTATTTTTTCTTTTTTTTATAATTTATTTTTTCTCAAATCGTAATTCATTCACACAGGGGTTATAAACACAGAAAGGCAGGCAGGATGTGGGGAAGGGAATGACACTGGAGTGTGGGTGTTCAGGGGGAATACAGATATCTTCAGAACCGGGTATCGGCTGGGTGAAGGTTCAGGGACAAGTCACTATGACTCTGCCTATGACTCTCTTGACTTTATCTAAGTTGATATTGTCTGCCAAGGCTACCTATTTACAAGGTCTATGACTACTCAGGCTTGTAAATTTCCACAAAAGCTGCCTGTTTACATTAGCTTATAGCCATCTGTTTCAATGTTTTTCCACAGAGACCCAAGACTTGGTGTTAGTATACATGTATGACAGGCCTATTGCTGATTTTAGGCCTGTGGCTGATTTTAGGCCTTCAGTGTGTAAGCAGGGCTGCCCCTGACATCTCCTCCCTTCTCTAAGTATAGAAGGGCTGTGGAAATTCTAAACTTGTGAAGGCGGGGATAGAGGCCTGACCTCCAGTATTTGAAGGGGACCTTGTGATGGCTCCAGTCCCCCTGTCATTTTCCAGTGAGGCATGAGGGCCATATGTGTCCTGATGTCTTTTTCCTGGAGAGGGGATACTTTAGACATCAACCCCTATGCAGTCAGGCTTGTCCCTCAGGGAACCCAGATAGATATTTTTATCTTTTATACATATTCCCTTGCAGTGCTTAGCCTTGCAGCCTAAGCAAGAATTCAGATCGCCTGTCAGAGGGAGTTCTTGGTGGCCCCTCTCTGCTTGGTCTAGGGGCAGAAGTCTCCCCTTTTAGGTTGGGTGGAGATGGGTTTTGGGAACACCCTGTATAAAGTAACAACCTCATCTTGAGTCTCATGGTCCTCCATAGCTAACTTATGATAATGTATCTGAGTAGGTTTTGCTACCAAATTATTTATCTGTTGTATCACAGAGTTAGTCTGCCTATTTGAGGGCCAGAGACCAGCAGAAAAAAGCAAAAAGAACCCAAATAATGGTCCCAAGATGGGAGGAAGGGTTGACAACCTTGGAGAGGCTGAAA